ATCAAGTTATTAAGTTGGTAGTAATTTAACTCCTGATTCTCTGAGAGGTGTAAGCCAAGAAAATGTTTTGGAAAAACGGGTCCAGAAGTACCCCAAAAAGAGCAAGTCTTGTCTCTTGGAGGAGGGCTGCTACTATTGATATAGGGTTGATTCCTTTTGGTGGGTGAAGCTCCAAGACCCAAGCTTACTGCTTTGATTTTTTTCCCCACCCTTTCGCTACTTGCTTTTCCCTGGATTAGAGTCCGAGGTGAGAAGTGACATCACAACCATCCATCATATCCATTCTGGGGGGATACTGCTCTGGGATCAGGGGCAGTGGCTAGGTGATAGCGGGTGTCACTTCCTTCATATGTATATGAAGGAAGTCACCCTGCAACTTCATGCTTTGCTTTCAACTGAAAGCCTTTTGGGAACCAGCTTGTCATTGCAGGATTTAAATGTCCACAGAAGAGGGTCAACTATGCCAATCTAAATCCACTTCAAACAGGTCAAAGATGGAGCTAAAGCCTCCTGAAATCTGCACAGTATTGGTCACCTGTTAGCATCCCATTAGCTACATATTTTGCCATAAAGGCAATATTGAGCCCTGAGTTAACTCCTGCTCCGGTTCCTATGTGTCATGGATGATATTGTTAAATGGTGGCGGTTAAACATCTATGAAATTGGGGATGTTAAGTCAAGTTTTCATTCTACTGAAGTTTATTTTATTAACCCCAGTGTGCCAGTCAAATCAACGTCAATGCTAGGTTCATAGCGAGCTATCATCTTTGGTCCTTGCGGCCATTCCTTTGTTTTATTTATATTATTCATGCATTGTGAACTTATTTTCCCATGATAGGATTGCTGTCTTCCAATTTAGGTTTATATTGGCCTCAGTTTTCTTCTTTATTAAATAAAGAAGTTAGATTCTCTGATATGTAAGTTCTCTTTCAGCTCTGATGCTCTACGAATGAGATTATGGCCTGATATATGTTTGGCTCAGTGCCTGGCATATTACCAGTCCTTAATAAATGGTAGTTATTATTATCATTTATTATTATCATTAAATCTGACAAATTTTCCACCGCCAACTCTGAATCTGATATACTGGAAAACTGATTAGAATCTCCATAAATATTGGCGACTCTTCTCCTGGGCCGTGAAATTCCTAGTGGCATTTTTTTCCTTCTCAGTCAGCTCCAAACTGTCCACTACCAGTTTATTATTGATTCACAGAATTTCAGGTTAGGGACTCTTAAAGGTCGATTTCCAGCAAAGGATGTAGCAGAGGAAGAAATGAGGTGTCTCATCAGGCAAACTCTTCCCAGAATAATTCTCGTTTCTAGCATTTCAAGATGAATTCTTACAGGGTTCTTGTTCACCTCTCCTAAAAAACTGCCTGGATTTCTGTTCATTGCCTTTCACTGAAATTTCCCTTTAAAGCTGTGAGGGACCTTGGCAGGGAGGCCAAACACTAGTGGGGCCTCATTATCAAGTAATATGTTGCTAAGTATAAGGCAGAGTAAAACTTAAAACTGCCTGATTTCCTGCCATATGGCACGTTCAGGAGGAAGAGTCGAGGGTCAGACTTGCAGAGCTACTCCTTGCATACAAAAAGGCAGCATTTGTGCCAATCTTGGATTTAGCTTCTTTCCCAACGTTAGGGATGGTTTTGCACTAACCACTTCTATTCTATTAGTTCCTTGTTCCTTTGGCTACTGAGGCATCATGAGCAGAGCTGACTGTGAGAACCAGCAGAGCTTAACGTCCTGAAAGAAGATGTTGTTTTGCTGTAGCTCCTGATCCTTATCTGGAAGCTTCATTGCAGCCAACTGGCTCTAATCAAGGAGGCCAATGAGTTCATGAAGGCAGATCCCAAAGCCTTCGCATTAATCGCAGAGGGGCTTCTTTGGTCTCACTAAAGTTTAAGAATCACACTCTTCTTAAGTGAATTTAGTGAAGGGAGCTACAAAAGTGATGGACAAGAAGATGAATGAATCTACATTCACGTGTTTGAGTTGACAGATGTATGGGGTCCCAGATCCTGTTTATTTCTTGAACAGAGCTAGGATTTTCCTTTCCAAAGCATACGCGTCCAAACGAAAGAATATACCCTTTGAGCAAGCTAAAATGCTGGTCCAGGGGTTGGTTTACAAAGTAGAAAAGCGGTTTGCCTGTTTCCTACCTCATTTTCCAATTCTCTCTCATGTTCAATGCAGTGAATGCCATGTGCGCGTGCCAAGCAGGGCATGCTCGCGGAAGGCAAGAGTGTTCATTGGAAAGAAAAAGGCAAAGACACCGTGGAGAAAAAAAATACCAATGAGTAGTTTTGCTACTCTTAGGAAAAATGTCCAGGCCTCAGGAGACCAGGTGCAGGGATTCCCTCTTCATTTCATTCAAAAGTTGAAGCCCAGAGGCAACACAGCTTTCAAAGAGAAGTATTTTGTGCTGTCTTTGTGGTCCTAAACAATAATGACCCCAGAGTCCTAGAGAAAACCACAGGCCATGCTTCAGGCTTGACTCATAGAGTACCTTGTGTGGTCCTCACAGGGGCCACCCTCCTGCGGATCATTCCCAGACAGGCTCTCCCTACCCCCTGACAGCTAATGCCCCCAGTTCTGAAGGGATGACTGATTGATGTACATTGAGATTTGGATTTTGATTGAGGTTTTCCCGTCCCATCTGAAACCCAGCGGAAGAATCATTCAATGTCCTGTGGATGGATGCAGGTGGCCTGGGTGGCAGTGAGTAGTGATCTAATAGATTGTAAACTTTCTGGACTCCGGACAGGGAGCGGAGGAAGTGGTTGTGCAGAGGGACTGGCCAGTAGCAAGACTGTACTGAAACTGGAAAGCCCAGGTATAGTGCTTATGCTTTTCCGCCTGTAAGTAACAACGACAACAATAGTAAATAAACCGCATCTAGAGTTATTCAGAGCCTGAATTCCACTAATCCTTTGTGCTGCATTTCCTCTCCCTCCTCCTCTTTCTCCAGTGTCTAGCACAATGCCTGGCAAGTTCTAGGGGCTCAAGGGATGTGCCAAATCAGTCAAATAAACAGCATAAACTATATGTCCTTCTGCAAACGATTGAGCTTTTCTAACCTTCCACCTCTTCATCAGTTAAGGAGGGGGATAATGCTATTTGCTGAGTCTGGTTTCAAGATCAGATAACATGGCATACCTTATGCAATGTGTAAAATGTCATAAAGCGGTAACTTCATGAGTTATGAATTTCACTTTTTGAATTTTATGAACTTTAAATTTATGAATTTTGTGTTTGCAGATATGGTTCAGCTGGGGGAAGAAGGGAGAAAAGTGGAGCCCTAGGCAGATAAAAGAATCATTACCCAAAGCTAAAGATGTGATAGGTTAATTAATCTCAGATACATTTAACCAATCAATGCTGAAGAAGAAAATCAGAGGGGCTAGGCAAAGGAGGGGAGAAAAGGGGCCGGTGGGGGTTAGAGGGATGGTAAATACTTCAGAGGCCAGTGGACTTATTTACATAAAGGATACATTTTCTTTTCAGGAGAAATCAACCTATGCCACCAAAAGAGGGAGGGAGGTTGTTCAGCAGAAACGGGGTTAATCCAAGCTCACTCCTGCCCGCTGCAGTCACAGCGCTGGAGACGGTCGCTGGAGACGGTAATGAAGCCGGCGCAGGCCCGTATTTCATCTGAACTTCCTCTGTGGTCCTTTTTATATTGAAGTCTCTCACTGTTACAGGGCCGCACTTGGACAAGTTGGAAAACTTTTCCCTTGGTGGAGAAAAAGCCGCCCCTCATCAGACTCAGTGGAACGAATGAATGAAGTTATTCCCTTGGCCCAACGTCTCCATCCCCTTTCATACCAAATATTCATAGAAACATCTTTGCTCAGTTCTGCGACTGGACTTTTACTCTCCCGTGGCTTTGCCTCGTATCAGATGCACTGATTTCGAAAGTCAGCAGGCAACAGACTTGGCTTTGGAGCCACCGTGGTTGGCTTTTAAGAGTCGATGCGCCCTACGGTCCTGTGTGGTAGCTTCTCCCGCGAGCAGAGTGTGTAAAACAAACAGTTGCTGAAAAGCATGAAGAATTAACGAAATGAAAATCTCGGGTTATTTGTTCGGCAGTTGACACGCAAGTGACCTTCCTTAATACTTCGTTGTTTAAGGAGGTTCAGAGCTAGGATGAATGAATCTTCGGGGCGCTTGACTCTCACTAACGTGTAGATCTCCTTAGTCTTTCGGGAAGGGGGCGGTAAGTTGATTCGAATCCAAGGAGGAAAGGAAGAGAAGGGGGCAGAGCCGGACACCGGGAGCTCTGCTCCCAGCCCTGTGGAAAGACTCGCTCTTGCCGCCCGGGACCCTTGGAGGTTAGAGCCCGGAGAACCCGGCGGCGCTAGGACCTGGTTGGTGCCTGGCTGAGGCCGCGCTCCGGCGGGCGGAGGAGGGAGAGGAGGAGGGGGCTGGAGGAGGGGGGGGGGTGTTGGGGGGGGGGGGGGAGTCATTTATGCAGAGCAGGCGCTGCTGCCCTTGCCACTCACACTCCCCGCGCGCTGCTCGGAGCCGGAGGGAGCGCAGGGAGCAAGCTAGCGAGCGCTCGGAGCCCGGGCCAGCAGAGGGGGCGCCCGGCCGCTGTCTGCACCGCCGCCTCCGCCGCGCTCCGGGGCCCGGGGAGGAGCGAGGGCGAGTCGGAGAGTCGGGAGCCGAGCCGGCGAGACTCAACTGCAGGAGGGCGCCCGCCCCACTCCGCCGCCTCCTGCGCCCGAGCCGGGGAGCCCCCGCCGATCGCCCTGCGGGCCGGAGGGCAGGGAGCACAGGTCCCCGCAGCCCCAGGGATGGTCTAGGAGCCGGCGCGAGGCTCGCCATTTGCTCCCAGCCGGGGCTTGCCGCCTGCTGCGGATCGCCCAGGGCTGTGCGCCGCGGCGGCCGGGGGGCTGCGCGCCGGGGCGGCCCAGGCCCGGAGAAGTTAGTTGTGCGCGCCGCTCGTGCGCGGAGTCAGCGAGCGAGCGAGGGAGGCAGAGAGGCGCCGGGGCCATGGGCTGGGGAAGCCGCTGCTGCTGCCCGGGACGCCTGGACCTGCTCTGCGTGCTGGCGCTGCTCGGGGGCTGCCTGCTCCCCGTGTGCCGGACGCGAGTCTACACCAACCACTGGGCGGTCAAAATCGCCGGCGGCTTCCCAGAGGCCAACCGCATCGCCAGCAAGTACGGATTCATCAACATAGGACAGGTAACGACAGGCTGGCCCAGTCCTTGGCCCCGAAGCTGCCGGGGCAGGGGGAGGCCCCCGCGACCTCGCGCTCCTTGCCCCCTCCTTGTCAACCCCCTCTCCTCTCTTCCAGATGTGCTCTTGCAGCTGTTGCCCTAACTCTTGAGCGATTTTTTTTTCTCTCTTTCATACACACACACACGCACACACTCCCCAAAGTTACCGGGGTTGGTTTTGTTTACTCTGTGTTTTTTTTGTTTGTTTGTTTGTTTTTGGAAGCCACGAGGGACAGGTAGGGTCTCTGGAAAAATCCGGAGTATGCATACCCCCGTGGTGGTTTCAGACCCGACCGGATCTTTCGACCTGGAAAGTCGGGGAGCACTGGTAGCCTGAGCTCTTTTGGGGTGTAGGGGAGGGTGAGGGCGCTCCTTGCGGTTTCTGAGACCCAGGGTAAGGAGAAGGCGAGGAAGGGAAAGCCTTTCCTGCTCGGACCTGAATTTAGTCCAGAAAGTAGTTTGCTCCTCTTGGGGGAGAGAACCACTGGGCGCTGGAGGCGCAGGAGGCGCGGGGACTGGAGCTGGGCGAGAAGAGGGAGGCGGAGGGACGGGAAGAGAGGGCCGGACCCGGCGTGAGCGCAGATCTGGGGAGACACCTCCCCGCTGCCTCGTCTCTCTCCTGGGATCCGCGTCGGGGGCTCTCAGAGCCGGGTAGAAAAAGGAGGTGGGGAACTTCCGAGCCCCGCTGACTGGATTCTGCTCTGGGAGAACTGCAAGCCTCCCCGCGGATTGGGATGTGCGGGGCCCAGAGGCGGCGCAGTGGGGAGAGAGTTGGACCGGCAGCAGGGCGCGGGGTTTTTGCGGGGTGCCGCTCCTGGGCTTTCGGCAGAACTGCCCGGCTGGGGAACAATGAATTAAATGGTGATATGGGGATGATTGGAAGCGCAACAGATTTGGAGGTGTTTCTGAGCTAAGCGGTGTTGATTTCCTCGCTCTCTTTCCTGCAAGAAATGGGAGTGGAGAGGGCTGCGTACATGGGCCCAGAAAGTGACCCGATCATTCCCTCCCCCGGCCCCCCCCCCGCGCAACCCCTTACTCACACCCCTTTCACTCACTTCTTAAGGCCTGGCTGGAGGAGGGGGCTCTGGCCAGACCCTGGCCTGACTCTGCCGGGGGTGGGGGGGTGGGAGGCGATGGTGATGGGGCACCTTCGCAGCCGACCAGCTTTGGGGACTGCTCCGGATGCAGGTGCCCTGCGTGCTCTGCAGGGGTGAAGGGAGAGGAAGGTGCTGCTGGTGCAGCGGGGCCAAGAGAGCACAGACGCTTTCTGATGCCATCGCGCTCCAGGTCCAGGAAGGAGAGCCCCGGAGCGCAGGGACCCGCAGCTGCCTGGGGGCTGAGGCACTGGAGGGAGATAGGGAGCGCTGGGGTGTTCAAAGGAGCTGGAGTCTGAGGTTTGGGGCTTTGCGGGTCCAGAGGGAGGACGTGTCCCCGAGAAGCCAGTCCCGTGGAGGGCTGAAACCAGGGCAAGGGGCAAGGTCTTTATCCACCCCCGCCACGCCCCCTACACACACACACACACACACACACACACACACACACACCAAGGTCTGCATCTAACATAACACACCCAGAAGAAGGTAAGGGAAGCCAGCCAGATTTTGTTGCCTGAATGCCTGTCATCTTCAGGAGAGTCCCATTCTGACAGTTTGTTAGGATTCTACTAGCTTCTTATTTCGTCAGAAGAAAACAGTCTCTTCCGCCTTTTACATGAGCTTAAAGTTGGGTGCTGGTGTGACCCTGAAACGTAACTGGGAACCCTAACAATGAATGTTAATAATCTTTCTAGAGATGCATCTCTCAGGTTCAGCTAACAGGGAGCATCTCCCATAGAAGAGACGTAATTAGAAAATAAGTTCTTGATCATACATGGTTTTTTTTGTTTGTTTGTTTTGTAACCTGCAAAATGACCATTTTGGGTGGCTATTCCCCCACATTCAGCAAATTGGAAACCCAAGACCCTGGAGAAGTTGACCTGCACAGGATCACCCAGCTAGACGGTGGCAAAACCATGGTTCAAACCTAGGACTCTCTGGCCCCAGCCTCCTCCTGCATGAATCCTGCCTTTTAGGGTATCCCCCCATCCCATAGAAGGAAGGAGGCACAAAGGAACAGCCCCAATTCCCTGAATTTTGATTTAGTGGCTCATAGACTGGAAGCAAACATTCAGTATTAATTCATAGATTCTTAGTTCAAACAGACCTGGACTTCTTGACTCTAAGAAGCTTCATGACTTGCAAGGGCAGAAATACCTGTTTCTTAACGAACTCATTAAATAGAACTTAGATATTGCAGAACCCGTCAGAGTGAGGGAGGAGATTCTGTCCCTGAGCCCACTTTGAACAGGCGGACACTGCAGGGTCCTGTGACTTCACCTGACTCTGCTTACAGGGGGCCTTCTAATGATGAGCCGTGGCTTTTCATCAAAAAAGTAACGCGAAGAAACTTTCCGTGCAGATGACCCCAAACACTATTTATTGTGGCTTTTACAATGCCAGTGAAGAAATTTAGTGCTTTCAAAGGTTACAGAGGACCCCTTGAACTGATGCCATAACCAGTGTAAAAATGTCAGTGAGTCTTACAGTGTGAGGTGTTTGCTCTGTAGATCAAAGGGGAGTAACCCTATGCTAAGTCTTTGGGATGGTAAGTTGAGTTCACACGTGCTCTGTCGATGTACTGTAAGGGCCAAACGTATATCTTATTCTTCCTTTACTGCTCTGACCTTTAACACTTAAGGCATTGTCTTGTTCTTTCTTTCCATCAGTAAACCAGTCAAGGTTCCATTGACTCATTTGTGAACGTGTCTGGAATGTTCTCCTGGTTTTACCCATTTGAGCTTGGGGTCCCACCTCATGGGTCACAAATTGGAACTGAGATCTCTTATTGCGACCGACGTCATTCATTATCTTGGTGGTGGGTCTGACATCTTGAGTGTAATCTTTTCAGGGGGATGAGGTAGTGAATTTTTCACCACCGTAAAGGTACAGCTCTGACTACTCAGAATTTCCGTGTGATGCTTTCCATCGCATCTTAGCACTTAGAAGCACCAGAGGTAAAATGTCTGGCCTCGAGATTTCTACAGAAAAGGAATAGGTGTGCCTCTCATGTTCATGAAAAAATAGGATATGCAGAGTTACACGAGAGCAAGCGAGCAAACAGGCAAGAAGGACAAGCTCGACTTCCGGGAAGGGAAGAAGAATGAGGCTTATCTTGCTGTTGGCTACAGAGATAGCATTATGTTTTGGTAGGTTTTCCGCACAATGTTAGTATTTGTGAATGGCTATGCCTTGAAAATCTGAAATGATGCCATAATCAGTAGTAGTAGTTGTCATGTTGGTGTGTATCACGTCTTGCTTGGTACGAGTGCTCACTCTAGAATTCCCTGTCTTTCTTCCCCTGCAACCCCTGACTACCAACCCCCCTAGGCTCCGGTATGCCCCGCCTGTTGGCCTCACGCAGATGGAAGGGAGGCCTGGGTCCCCCCTCCCAATCGGGTGCTCTGACTCTTTGAACTAACAGAGTAGTGGTCAGAGGGTAGCAGTGACAGAAAGGAATGAAGACCTGACATGTTAATTGTGAACCTTTGTTTGGACTACCTCTACAAACCAGGGGGCTTAATTTCTGGTTATTTGAATTCAGGGAGAAGGTCCCTTGTGAAGGTTGTTTGCGATGTGCAAGAGCTGTATTTATCCTTCTGTGAATTGCATACAATCCTGGATCCCAGGCTGAGACTGCCAGTAGCAAAAAGCTCTCCTCAAACCATGTAACTTATCTTGAGCAAGATTCCGGAAGGATAAAGCCAGATGCAAGCAGTATTGGGGAAGTATTTGACCTGGAGTTCCCATTGGAAGCAGAGACTTGGAAACTCCAGGGATGCCCCTTGCAAGGTCTTTGAAAGCAGGAAAGTCAGTGAACTTAATGGAGCCCCTATTCCTCCATCTGTAAAATGATAAATCTCTAGATAATAGGCTGAGTTGACTCTGCATTGCTCAGCACATAGTTAGGCTTTCAGCGAAAGGTTTGTTGAATCTGAATCTGAAATAAGTGAGACTCAAACTTATTTAGATAGGGAGAAAGGAAGACATTGTTTTAAATGGGACATGCAAAATGTGAAGATCAGGAAAATAAATTTTCAATGGCTGAGTAAAAAAAGCTAACTCAGAGCTTTGTAGACAGGGAAAATGGTTTTCCATTTCAACTAACAATATAAAATACTTTAAAAATAGTTTCTGTTGGACTCTAAACAATTCTGGCTGATTTCCCTTGGTGGTGCCTTCCTCTCTGGTTGATCCTTATTGTAGCCCATTAAATATTATAGGATAAGCTCATCAGAGATGGAAGACGGGGAAGAAAAATATCTGAAGACTGATTATTTTAGAAAGCATCTTACTGATTATTTTAGAAAGCATCTTACCATCTTACGTGAGATCATATTTGAATTTACATTTTAATTCTGAATGTAGTATGTATGAGGAAAGTTGGAAGCAGCATTTCCCAGAGATCTTTAGCAGGAAGAACTTTGTTCAGAGATCTGCCGAAGGCCTCCCACTCTGCTGATTAATTCTGACCTGCGGGTAACTTGAGATGATTGAAATGTTGATAAACAGTGGCCAGTGGGTTCTGGGCATGGATGGATGGCATTGCAAGTAGGGACGTGGCTAGCCAGCCGGGCAGAATGGGAGTGGACTGTGCTTCCCTAGTTGAATTTTTAGGCACATTGTAAATAGCAAAAGAAATTGACGTGGGAGTCCATCTGGCTTTGCGAAGGACAGCTCTTCACGCCCAAGAACCTCAGCCCTGACCTCCGTTAGCAGCTCTCACATGCTTCGTTCTCATGAGCAGGAGAACCTTTACTGGAAGAAAAAAAAAAAAAAAAAGCAACTCAGAGAGTTTGGCCTGATGATGGTGGATCTGTTGCATTAACCTCATAGGCCAGGAATGGCTTGCATGTGGCCATTGGGATTT